TTTCTTTTGATTGAGGTGCATTCGTAAGTACGTGTCAATAGTATGCTGATGAGCACCTGTTTACACCCCAAAAGTTAACCGATTACGCTGATTAACGAAATCCTCCGAGCACCAGTTTTTAGAAAATTGTTGTGCGCCATTGACATAAATCACTTTTACTGAATTTAGCCAGATTGTGCCATAATTTATAAAACCTGCATTATTATTTATATTGTGAACATTATTTACTGAAATTTATTTAAATTGAGAAGTAGGTACATGTATGTAATTGTAAAAACAGAGCTATTTTATAGATAGTAGAGTAGGTAAGTGATACATGGTGTATCTACTTTAGAGATGATATTTTATCAGGGAGAAGTCTAATCGAAAAAGTACGAATTGTTTTGGATTCTACGCCCCAAAATTAATAAGAAAAAGTGTTTTCCCGAGAAATTTTGGTGCAGTCGATTTTTGGTAAAAAAGGAAGGTTATACACTGCCTTTTTTTGAGCCCCGAAAAAAAAATTGTCTCAGATCGACCCGGAAAAAAAATTTTCTTATAGAATGTGGCCTGTAGAATCCATAATTTCAAACAGTTCCAAGATTGGGCTACTAGTTCAAAAGTTACAGCCCTTTGAATTTTCTTTCGAAATTGGTTTCTAGTCTATAACTTTTGATTGAGAAGTCTGATCGAAAAAGTACGAATTGTTTTGGATTCTACGCACCAAAATTAATAAGAAAAAGTGTTTTCCCGAGAAATTTTGGTGCAGTCGATTTTTGGTAAAAAAGGAAGGTTATACACTGCCTTTTTTTGAGGCCCGAAAAAAAATTGTCTCAGATCGACCCGGAAAAAAATTTTCTTATAGAATGTGGCCTGTAGAATCCATAATTTCAAACAGTTCCAAGATTGGGTTACTAGTTCAAAAGTTACAGCCCTTTGAATTTTCTTTCGAAATTGGTTTCTAGTCTATAACTGTTGATTGAGAAGTCCAGGTATTTTATCAAGTCTCTTTTCTCTTTCGATTGTAAGATGTCGTTCTAATTGGACTGATGGTATGCTGTTAAACCAGGCTCCAAAATAAGGTTGTATGGAAGCTAATAATCTGGATTGGTCGATTTCGGAATCTGTTGAAACCAGGGGGTTGTTTTAACTGTTGGGTCATCCCGAATCTTCTGAATGTGACGGTCTTCAATTGTAGGTAAATCCGAATATGTTGTATTTGTCCATAAGGTTTAAGCTTTTGTGGGACAAGTTTCGGATACTGTAGGGTTATTTGGCAAGATGAGTCGAAGATGTAGGAGACAGCTATAGAATGATTAAGCATGGAAGTGATCGTTCTATTGCGTGTCTTATGCCAATTACTCAATTTTTGACTAGTAATCCTCATTGAGACCATGCTTTTTGGATGGGGAATTTCTTTTAGAACTGACTTCATTGCTAAATCGTAGGAAATTAAACTTTCACCTTGACTGAAGTTTTTAAAAGAAAGTATTCAGAATGGGAAGACTTGAGAGACTCATTTTAAGAACAATGGGACTTTTTGATTCTGAATGGATAAATTTCCAATATTCGAAAGCGAGGGTCTGCTGATAATTATTCACGTGCCATATCAGGGGATGTAAACAAGCCTCCAAACATTTTCAAGAAAAAGGTACTGGACTGAATAAAATTATCATAAAAAGAACGTTTATTGGAAGTTTGCGAAGAAGCTTATACATGGATCAATATAGAAATGAAGCGCGTTTTCCCCATGCCAATTACTAATAACTAATAATAAGTAACACGAATGGAGTAAAGAAGCTATTTCCATAACCTTATTATAATATTTGTTGTTGTTTTTTTTTTTAATTTGTAATGTCTCTTTTTGTTTTGTTAATTAAATACCAAGTCGGGAAGGAACGGCTATGAAACGTTGGTGTACAATCCTCTGGAATTGGTGGAATGACTGAAGTTGGTTCCAGAATTGCATTTAGTGGAATTAGTATTGAAATTAGCACTGATATTGCGTGACTTATTTCTTTAAATTCGTTCTCCTTTTTTATTGTTCATGTTCGGTTTCCATTCCCAGTTAAAAAGAAAACAGAACGAAACTGACATATTCATTGCTTTTCATCGAAATGCCTAAGCATTTACATAGTAATTGGTGGCTAACTTAATCCATTCTTTTGAAAGGAGACGCCCTTTAATATTACGCTTGAAAAAAATGCATAGGTACATAAAACCGATAGAGGAAAATATGGTAACGGTCCCACGTTCATCTGTAAAGAATCATTAGATTTTAAAGAAACTGAAGAAGGATTGGAAAAGAAAAACCGTTGATTAGTCGCCTTTTACGACATGCAGTGTCTCTACAGTAGGGGTATTCTTTCCCGCCCCTACACGGGTAAATGGAAATCAACCGTGTATATTTATTTTATGTATTAATTCAAGTTAGACTGCAGGGCATTACAATATTGTCAGAATGGTTAAATGCATATAAAATTTTACTCAGTAATTTTGTACAACTTGGACGCATCCGCGTTTTGCCATTGGCGGCGATCAGTACGATCCTATAGAAAACAAAAATCCGCGTTTTGGTACTCAAGGCGACCAAAGGGGCGACTCCCGTTTGAAAAAAGTTAAACCGTTTTGACTGAGTTCCGAAATTTACGGAAATTCAAAGTTCGTGGAGAAAGTTAGTATGTTATTTGGTGGAACTACGCAAAACATTACCTTTGGATATCTATAAAAGTTTCACCTTTGGTGTTAGAAGCGCGCAATACAGTTTGGTTAAATTCGAGTACTAATTAGGAAATGTTTGAACGAGGACATATCATTTTAAATCAAGGAAAAATAAGAGTTCGAGTGCACAATCGAATTTAATAAGAAAATCGTGCGTTAAAAAGGACAAGTTTTGAACGAAGAACCAGCTAATTGTCTCAGTGCGTTCAATTACGGTAAAGAATTTCAAGGCGTAGTTAAATGTAACTTATATTCCGCAAAAGAAAATTTTTACATCATATACGAAACGGAACTTTCCCTTTTTTCTGTGCTAGTTAAAAAGTTGCAACCAGTAAAGAAAATTTATTGGTCAGTAGGAGCAACCTCCAACGTTTTGATATTTTCAAAAATTTTACCCGAATTGTACAATTTTCTCAAGATTCGATCCAGCCGACATCCAATTGAAAATTCAATGGAAACTATTTCACACACACGACTTGCTAGATTTCTTGTTTTCTAAATATTGACTCACGAATTTCTTCATTTTTTTGATATATCAACCATATGCATATTTTATGTTTTCGTACAGCAAATTGATTGCTCTTTTCAAAGATCTTAAAAAAACATAGACATTACATTTTGCAAAACAAAAGTTGCATCGATTTCCGATTAAACCAGAAGTGGTGCCGGAAGTTTCAATATGGGATCGGATTGTAATGTCACATATAATATTATATTTGAAAAACATTTTTCGTATTTTGTAAAAGGGACATTGAGGTGAGCCTCTTATATCTCGAACGCACTGTATACAAAGATATAAAATAGTATATTAAGTAACAAGGGATTAAAAAGAGTTTTTATTCCTGAAAGAATGGTTTAAAGCCCGAGGCTTACCGAGGGCTTTAATATTCTTGAGGGAACAAAAACTAGTTTAATCCAGTGTTACTTATACTATTTTTTCCAATACCGATCGATCTGAATCCATTTGAAAATTAATATGCTATAAAAACTATGAAAAAGTAAGGCATTGGAAAAAAACTATTAAAATGTCTGAAACGAGTATAGATACTGTAAAGGACGAAGCAAAAGGAAATCTTTAAGATCTTTTGGAATCTGGCGGTAAAGCGCTGGAAAGTGTGCGAATAATCTGGAAGAGTCCTTTAACGTTTTCCAGAAAGTCTTAAGTGCTTTTAAAAGATTCTTTTTTGATTTTGTAGAAGTTTTTCTGAACATTTTCCAAAGTAAGTGCGCCTAGAAAGATTTTAAAAGAAATTAGAGAGGACTGAAGGGGCCTAAAGTGCCAAAAACGAATGGAAAATGCGTATACAAGCGTGTCTAGAAATATTAAAGTTTTTGATTATTCAAGGTGTTCATAGGCTTTGAGCTTAGGAGAATCAGAAGAAAAGCTCTGGAAAGGTTCTGGAATATCTATTCCCAGAAAGGGCCTAGGTAGTGCTCTAAGAAATTTGAAAGGACGTAAAGTGGTCCAGGAGAAGGAATGCTCTGAAATCGCTTCTGTAAACCGCCTAATAAAATGCTCTGAAAACTTTCATAATTGTTCTGATAAGTGCTTATACATTTCTAGGAAGAAACTAAAAGCTATAAAAAGCGGTAACTATCTAAAAAGTTGATTCAGCTCTTTGGGGATTACAAGGTTTTAAAAAAGCGTTATAGAGCTATGGAGGGAGGAGCCAGGATATTCCATTGCTCTTGAAAGTGTTTATGTTTCCAAATCTAATGCATATATCAGGAACACCTTAAATGTTTGCCATAGAACCGTATAGAGTGTAAGCGTGGAAAGCTCTGGGAGGAGCATCAAAAGTTTAGAATGACTCTGAAAGAGGTATAGAATCCCCTGGTGTTGACCTCAAAGAAACATGAAGATATTTACTAAAGCAATCGGATGCCATTAGAGCTTTGGAAAGCGCTTTTAAAGGCCATCTTTAAGTGTTCAAGATTTCCACGGGATGCACTAAAACGACTTTTCTTTTATATTGTTTCATGCTGTGCGAAACCTTTCAGGGGTCATTTAAGTGTTTTACAAAGCCCTCTCTTTGTAGGCCGTCTCGTTTTCAGTTTAACCGAGACACACGTTACAGTGATCACTGGGGGGCATGTTCTAATTTAATTTAGTGTCTTTTTTTCTTCCCAATTTTGCTTTTTATACGTTTCCGCAAATAAACCTACGTTCTCTGTTTTTTATATAACCCGTGATTTACTCATTTATATAATTTACTCAAAAATAAATCGGAATGGTAGTGGTAATGACAAACCAAATAACATTTGCACTAAACAGAATGGACAGTTTGGTTGTAATCATTACTTAAATGTGTCGCTTATCATTCAAGTCTAGTACAATATAAAACTTCGAAATTACATATACGTTGCACTGGTTGTTTATTAGGCACTACGTTCAAACAGTTTTATCATCATAAAGACGAATTATTGCATGTGACGTTCAGAACGCAGTCAAAATGTTGCGGAATACATACATTTACCAATACTTGGCAACTATCACGGGTAAGTCTACCTCCATTCCAAGCGAGTAACTATTTGTCATTTCAGGATCATTCTCCATCCTAAGCTGTGGAGTAAACCAAGCGTGGACCTCGCCGTACCTGCCGCAAATCATTAACGGCTCGTACCCACAAATTTCTATGACATCTGCTCAAGGATCGTGGTGCGCAGTTATGGCACCATTGTCCGCTCCAATCGGTGCATTAATCGGCGCACTTCTAGTCGATAGGTTGGGGAGGAAATACACAACTCTTCTAATGGCCCCCTACACACTTATCATGTTTATATTTTTAGCGTTCGCGAACAACCTAGTATTAATTAGCCTAATTCGTTTCGTCATCGGTATAGTCGAAGGGGTGTTGTATACAAGTCTTCCGATGTATCTTGGAGAAATTTCAGCGCCTGAGGTGAGAGGGATTTTAACGGCGAGTGTGCAGTTTGGCGCCCTCTTGGGTACATTGCTTATCAATGTCTTCGGCTTGTACTTCTCCATCTTTACTACGTCACTAATCTTCGCGGCGGTACCGCTGCTGCATTTTGTCACGTACTTTTGGATGCCAGAATCGCCGTATTATCTCATCAAAAAGAACAAAAAAGCAGAGGCAAAAGCAGCGCTAATATTGTTGAGGGGTAGCGTGGATGTTGATAGTGAGATGCACTCGTTGTGCGAAGCGGTGAGTAGGCAAGAATCTGACCGGAAAACAAAGATGAGCGAGTTGGTTACTGTGAGAAGCAATCGGAGAGCGCTACTGATTTTTGTTATACTATGCACAACTCGAAAGTTCAGCGGTAATTCCCCATTCTTGTTTTACACTGCGCAGATTTTCCAAATGGCTCAAGGCAGTCTTCATCCCCATTTATCGGTGATCATCTTTCTCACTATACAAATCATTGCTGCCATGCTGTCACTGTATTTACTGGATCGCGTCGGTAGACGGCCCATTATACTATCATCTACCGTTGTCTGCGTTATAACCTTGGGTATCATCGGCTTGTACTTCTACCTTCAGGATCACCACGTTCAATCCGTGGAGAATTTGAGATGGTTGCCAATTACTGTACTGGTATGCTATATCGTCTTTTACAATATCGGATTGGAGCTGTCACCGGTGGTTTACGTGGGCGAACTGTTTCCAACGAATATTAAGGCGATAGCCTTGGGGTTTGCCGAAACATTCGCCGCCATGAACGGTATCGTAACAGCGATGTTGTTCAGTATTTTAGCGGACAACTACGGAATGTTCCTTCCATTCTGGATATTCGCGACGTGTTGTGCGGTCGGTTTGCTATTGATCGCGAAGTTTGTTCCCGAAACAAAAAACAAAACCTTGGAACAAATTCAAATGGAACTTATTGCAGGTGCTTCAAAGTCGAACAGTTAAATTTGTTGAGTGATTTTACATTTTTAAGTTGTTAAATAAATATTATAGTTAAGTTACATTTGTTATAAGTTGATCTAGAAATTGATTACAAAAGGAGCAACCAAAATATCTTAATGACTTTCATTAGTCCTACGAGATAAGATGTGGTTTCAACGAGGGTCCTCCACATTATAGCAGGAACTACTTCTATGCCAGGTTTCCAAATCTTTGCATTGGTCGAGGAGATCCTGTTCATTGGCCCGACTTCACAACGTTGGATTTTCTCCTCTGTGGTTTTGCAAAGAACGGGGTCAGACGAACAAAGAAAACGCAAAACAAAGAATACGCGACAGAATGACCATATCGAATTTGCAGCATGCTTTGTTACCCCCCGTAACCATTGCGGCAACTACTCTCTTACTAGACACTTGTAACTACTGTTTCCTCGTGAGTTCTCTATCGTTACCCTCTGTTGTTGCATTAATGTACCTTTTTATCTTCCATCCTTTCCCTCATTTTCCTCGTCCTTTCGATCTCATCCCGTCTGTATCCATTTCTTTCGTAATATTTTTTTTCCCACATTCCTTTTCAAATTCCCTTCCATCCTTAGCCTTAGTCTTCTATTCACTTTGTCTTTCACTCCTTTCCACATATGCCCACATCTCCGGTTCCGTACATAAGCACTCCTCTCACTATTGAATCAAACAAGTATTTTCTTGTTCTAAAGTTATGTTTGAAGCTTCTCTTTACTATTCACCATACCTGACCCATCGCCAGTTCCCCCTTTTTTCTTAGTTCTCTTATTTGCGCATGTGCCCCATTCTATGCCATTGGTACCTTATATATTTCACTTCTCTTACATTCTTCCCTTTTTCTTCCAGCCCCTTTCACAATATCATCATTTCCAACTTTACATTCCCCTTCTCTCACAAAACCTCTCCATGCTTCCCATCATTTCAGTCATCTTTGCCAATATTATTATGTCGTCGGCGTATGCCAGGGAAGGAGCATATGTTTCTTCTTCCCACTGCGATCCCCGATGTAACAATTACACAAGGTTGAGCTAGTGAGTGGACATCCCTTTCCCTTTATATACCCATAACATTTCCTTCTCTCCTGTCCTTACGCCTATTTTTGCCTCTCCATACAATTCCTTCATTTTGTCGTTTAGCTTCTAGTATATTTTCCCCTCTTCCGTCAGCCTTTGTCACTTCTTTTGTAATCGGCACTATTACCTCTTCCTTCCATTCTTCCGATAGTGCTCCTCTTTTTCCATAGATTCGTAATCTTTTCCGTGATCCTATGTGTGGCGAAAATCCAAGCCACATTTTCCCTCTCGGTTTCCCTTTCTTCATTCTCGTTAATTTCTGCTCAATTTCTTCTCTACTTCCCTTTTTCCTACCTTCACCTGCTTTCCTTGTAATACCTTAATAAGGTGCTGTTTCCTGGCCTCTATTTGTATTTCTCTCCCACATTCTTTCTGTTTCTCCATGTTTACATTTTCTGTTGTACTCCTTTTCGTTCTCTCAACTCTTTCTCCTTTCTTTCTCCATCATTCTGTTTCTCTCTTCTGGACACTCTCTGTCCCACCACTCCTTTCTATTTTTTCTGCCCTTCCTTTTTTAAATCTCTCCTTCATATTTGTTCACTCCTCCTCAGTACTCCCTCCTATTTCTTCATCTTTTCAAACTCACTTCCACCTTAAATTCTTCTACTTCTTCCATTATTTTTTCCATTTACTACTGTGTCGACCGTCGACCGTCCCTCTTCCTCCCATGTATATGTATTGCCTATCCCTATCTAGCTACATGACCGTTTAAAATTATCCACCCTTTCTTTTCTGATAATTCCAGTACACTTCTCCCTCTTTGTTGCCTTCTTTATCTCTTGATTTCCTATCTTGTGTTTTTCTTCCTATCTCTATTCATGTTTTACTTTATTTTTTAAGCCTCTTCATCCTCTTGTATACAGTTATCACTCTCATTTTCTTTCCGTCCAGTTATACTTTTCTTTCCTGTACATCTTCCTCTCCAATTTTACAGATTTATATTTGACACCTTGTGTAATATTTTAAAAAATGGCCGGTAATTGCTCGTTTCAGTTTTCAGTAGTAGGCTCATAATTTACGTGTATTTTTGCACGGAAGGTCCTTACATAGATCTCAAAAACAGCAGAAAATCCCAGATCATTAAAAGAAGACTCTTAAAAGCTCTCATATAATCATACAATTCTTAAAAGTTTTTAAAGATGCATAAAATCTCGTATAAGCCTAATTCATAAAGGCTACAATTCACGTAAACTTATTGAAAAAGCCTTGGATACTTTTGAAGACCCTTTAAGAAAATGGGCACTTCCTACGAGCCTTTAAAAACACTTTAGAAGCTCTTAGAGACCCTTAAATACCCATTAAATTCTCCTGAATACCCTTAAGAACTAAAGGTTTGTTCTAGAAGCTTCTTTGACGTATGAAAAGTTTTGGCGACACCTAAAGGTTAGTAAAGGCTCGACTGATGAAGGTTCTTGAATGGCGTAAATCGCTTAAGGATTTTTAAAAGCTCTGGAAGACCTTTGGCTTTATAAAGCATTTATGACACTATCGTATACTTTTAAAAGGTTTTTCGCAGACATTTAGATGCTTTCTGTTGCTGTTTAGACCATTCCATTGTCCTAGAAGGTCTTTTAAACTTTGTAAAGAGCCCTCTTAAAATCTTCAAGGCGTCTAATAAGAATCTGAGAGACATTTGAATAAATCAGTTTAAATAAAATTTTAGAGTGTAGAATTGGTAAAAAACACATGAAGGGGCGTGTTGAAAGTTTAAGCAAGGTTTGCACTTTTGCAGTAGGAATGTCGGGGGATGAAGGAATGCCTTTAGTTTTATTCTTACAACTGAGTGCTATAATTCACAAATTAAAGAGAAAAATTTTCCACAAGGGTAGCCATACTACGACTAGGTCGAGAAAGTAAAAGGGAAATTTTCCTCCCGGTCACCAGTGAAAGCGACTTATGTAAGGTAAATGTGCTGAATTGTTTCAGAAACGAGGAATAATTTAAAAATCACCCAAAAGACATTTGCCTAGAGGGTAATATAATTTCCATTGCGTTTACTAATTGTTGAATGAACGCAAAAAACTTTATTTGCTAAAAATTTCTTGCAATTGTAAGGAAAAATCTTGCATGTCAATTTAAGAGAAACTTTCAATTTGTACGGATCAAAATTGTAAGTTAAAATACTAGCACTTTCTTAGCAAGATTGGGTTTATTTAATTAAATAAATTAAATAAACATAGCAAAATAATAGCTTGGCTATTGCACATTGGATAAAGCTATGCTCATTTCGAATTTCATGTATTTCGGTTCATAACTAACGGAGCGTCAAAAGGGCCTTCCTTATTTTTTGGCCTGCATTGCATCCGATCTACAAATTTGATCAAAAGTAACACTGAACCGTACCAGTACGAAATAACTATCAATATCATCGTTTATTTATTTTGAATTGCCTATCGGATGTGTTAGCAAATAAAATTGTTTATTTAATTTCACAATTAGTAAAGATAATTGAAATTAACTGCCCACTCTGTGTGTGTTTATATTTTGGAAGTTTAGGTTTGGCCCTGCGTGCTGAAAACAACCTTCGACAGTGCGGGAGGATATTTGTTTCCTATTGTTGCATTAAGTTGCATACACTGCAATTACGTTACCTTCGAACACATGCGGAATTATATGCGTAACGATCAATCAAAACCTTTTACCTAAATTTGAACGATTGAGGTCACGAGACACGCAAAAGAGTGCGTAATATGACCACTTAAGGAGTAGTCTACGTCATTGTTTAAATACTATTTAAACAATGTCTACGTCTTGTTGAAGATCCGAAGGTTAGTAAAATCAGGACCGTTTTAAAATAAATTAGATCAATCGATTTCGCAACATAGAAGTAATAACTGAGTTAGCAGTGTAGAACAAACATTGGGTGACGGACTGAAAATATCCTTCAGCGTGCATTTAGACAAATATGTCGTAGGCAAGGTTGCCATAGTTTGAGGTTAAACATTTTTTTTACACAATATGTAGTAAGAAAGAGAAAAAGATAAGCTTTCTAATGTAATGAGGTATCACATTACCTATGTAGCCATTTAACAAAATTCAAGATGGCGGTCGCATTCAAAAATCTTGTATCAAAAAATATTTTTTAACCTCACAATATGTGAAATACTTTCAAATTTCGAATTTTCGAAATCATGTACATGTTTCATTCGATATTAAAGCACAATTTAAAAAAAATTAAATATAAATTAGAGTGACTGCCGGACAGAAGGGCCCCACGGGAATTTTCACGGAAAACTTTTCTTCTGCTTTTGTAACAAGCCATTGAATTGACGGTGTATTATCTTTTTCAACCGAAGTCATTTTATTTACCTACAAAGACAGTGATTTTTATAAGCAAAAGACAAATGACATTTCTATGGCAATCATGGAATTACGAATAAACAGCCCACTTAATTAGACATGTACTCGAGTATAACGTCAATATCATGTTATTTTGTTTCCCTTATTTTTAAAATAGGTATATTGCGGATATAAATACTTCAAATCTTTAAACTCGTGTGTGCTTTAAAGAGTTGTCTCTTAATATACTATTTTTGGACCAAAACCACCTTAACTCATTTTTTATAAAACCTATTCTGAAAACCATCTCTCTGATCCGCGTATTGAAGATTGTTAAATATATATAGGATGTAGATGTAATTCAAAAAACGTTCAATGATGCAAAAATATTACAAAATGACAATATTAAAACGATTTAAATTATTATCACGACCACATCAATGAACACCTTAGCTGTTAAATAGAACTAATTTTTTTATTTAATCTGAGAAGAACCCCCTAAACCGGATTGATTTATTGTAAATGTATGGATGACTGTACTTTTCGTATTTGTAATTGATACGGAAACTTGACTGTGGTTTACTGCTTCGGAATTAAAACGTATTCGAAGCCACAGTACAACTCGTCTCTGAAGCATACAAAATTAACCCAACCCCTGGTTCTGGAAAATAAAAAAATTATAAATATAAATTTCGCACCACAAGAGATCGTATTAACAATAAAATAAATAGACCAACCATATGTAGTGCAATAAAACGCACTTACTGGTTGAGCAAAAACCTCCGAGTCCAAATTACAGTGTAATCATTGAAACTAATAGGTACTTGATAGTCAAAACACGAACACTGCTAAAATTGGAGTGTCACATTCAAAATTTAAAGCATTAGTTTGTTATTAGTTTGCTGAAGATTTGAAATATGTGGTAGAATTCCAATATTATTTAACGCCATTTATACATATTTTTTAATATCTCAGTAAAAATGGAAATGTTAAAGTTTAGTTTATACAATTCGAAATTTTTGTCCCATAACATCATTTGATCATTGTCATTTATGCAAGAAACTGTTAATAATTAATGTTGTTCATGTTTTTCGCTTAATACCGTATGTCCTCATATCGACTTTTCACAAGAGGAAAAACCTTTTCATTATTTATTTTTTAGAAAAATACATTCTTCATTCTTTTTTGCTTGTTTTGCTAAGTTATCAAACAACAGTGATATGGCTAATTTATTGAACCTCTGAAGCCATGAAAAAAACCATGTCAGTTAGACACAGCATCATATTGACAAAATCATACTGATTATTTATGAGGAATGTTAAAATGCCATTTGAAATAAGAAAGTTCATCTTGAAAATATTTTTAAATGATTCTTTTTAGTGGATTATTCAAACAAGTAGAAAGGTTTTCGCTCTAAGGCGAGTAACTTCAGCGCATTTTCCATTAATTGATCAGTACTTCTCAAAAAGCCATAGCTATGTGCACTATGGTTTTCTTTACTAGATGCATACATGGTTAAAATTTCAAAGAAATATCTTCATAAATATGGAAGGTGATCTAATGTTTGCAATGTCAGATATGTTTGCCTTTAACAGAAGCATCTGTGATAAAATTTCAAAAAGATATCGCGATAAATAAGGTAGTTGATGCATGCGCACATTAATCTGATGCTTACAATATGCGATACGTTTGCTTTTACTGAAAGCATCTTAAAATATCTCCATAAATAAGGTTGGCATTGCGCAGTCTGCGCACGCGCACATGTGATTTTTACTATATGCGATATGTTCGCCGTTACTAGAAGTATCTGTGGTTAAAATTTCAACAAAATACATTAATCAATAAGAAAGTTAACGCGCACTCTGCGCAGTTTAATCATCAAGATTTTTCTTGGCGAAGATGCCAGAGCTACAGACGACCTAAATATCTTAAAAACTGTAGGAGTAGTTAAGGCCTTGGACGAACGGATAGAGAAAGTGGCTGCAATAGCGAACCCAACTTCGTTGGAAAATGCGCTAAAAAGGTAATGGGGCTCGAACCGAAATTCCAAACCGTTCCTGAGATACTTCTAATGGCCCACTTAAAAACACCACCCTGTACAGTGTGTTCACGGATTCAGTGCATATAAGGTGTATATGACACCATTTTGGATTTGGATCTTCACGTTCTGAGGATCGCTCCTGCTTAGTCTCAAACTAAGATATTGAAAAAATGAGCCAAATTAATTAATATACAGAGTGTTTTTTTGCCGAATTTTAAAAATTAGAGTAAACGGTTTTTATATTAGCAGATAGGTATATGAAAACAAAGTTGTTTAAGATTAGTTAGAGGGGCCTTACTTATTTTCATACAAATCGGCTTACTTTGATTTTTTTCATCAAGATCCAATACTTTTGAACTCATGTTTGTAACAAGAATCAAAGCAGGCTTTTAATTTTAAACAACTGTTTTTATACATTTTTCTTATATCTGCTAAACAAAAACACCCGGTATATTAATTGTTTTTGGTTCATTTTTTCGATATCTTAGTTTGAGACTAAGCAAGAGCGATCCTCAGAACATGAAGATCCGACTCTAAAAATATGCACCTTGTGACATCCGCTTAAGTGAAGATGTCCGACGTAACGTTGGTGCTCTCCAACTCCAGATGGTATTCAAAACTATAAAATTAAAAGTTTTCTACCAATCTACGTCCTTGAAGGTTGTGGTCAGTGGCGTACTTCTGTATGGTCAGCGAGGGCTTATTTTTTTAACGGCAACCACTGGTTTTCATTACATATTCTTAAAGAGTATACTTTTTTGGATATAGCAGCATAAAAAACGTATTATATTAAATAATCAAATTTAAGGAAAATGGTTGTGTTCATTTAATAATAAAATTTCACTAGTTTGCGTTGAGAAAAACGTTATTTTTTTGTTATGTGAATGCAATTTATTGTATAAAAAAAATCATTTAAAAAAAAGTAAATCTACATGCTTAAAAATTATTTATAGTGGCGTGCGTCTACCGAGGCGTCTACAGAACCAAGAAGGTCACTTTTTTTCGTGAGGTATTATTAAAGAATAAATTTGCATAAAGTCTCTTTGACGCAATGGGGGGGGGGGGGGGGGCTGCGTGGATTTGGCCTCAATGTTTGCAAAATTGATTTTTTATGATTTAGTGGTTCCTAGGATTTACCAAGAGATCTATAATTTAATGGCAGGCCTATAGAACTCTACATTTGCAAAATGGAAGGCTATCTTCACATATGCCACCCGGCAATGAACGGACAGTCGGCGATTTGACTAGGTACAGGAAAGATTCTTCTCAGCAAACTGAAAAAAACACAGTGGCACTTTCGCCAAAACAGTAATGGAATCTTGTAGGTGAGGCAATCATAATTAGAATATACAAGCAGTAATTGTTTATTTGATTTATTTATCAGTAACAATAATACTTATCAAGTACTATTCTCACAATCACAAACGGGCATCTCAAGATCAATAATAAGCATTACAATTTCATAGTAAATGCTTTACTAATGATTGATAATGTATTTATAGAACATTACAAGTCTGAAGTGCGTTTGTTACGAAATAACTTAAGGAACACATTAAACTAACGCATCAATCGACATATAAATACAATAATAAATAAAAAATGGCACTAATTTAATAATGTCTCGTCAAAGTCCTAAAAAGAGATCACAGTTTCGTACACATCTCCTCGTCATTCGTTATTGCACTAGATTTAATGAGTTCCATTTGAATTTCTTCTAAAGTCTTATTCTTCGTTTCGGGCACGCACTTAATTATAAATATGAGTCCTATAACGCAACAGCTCGAAAACATCCAAAACGGCACGTACATACCGTAACTGTCATTGAGAATTTGGAATATCTTAGCGGTAAAAATACTGAAAATGGCGGAAAAGGTTTCGGCGAAGCCAAGCGCGGTTGCTTTTACGTTAGTCGGGAAGAGTTCTCCAAGATAGACGATTGGAGATAATTCTAAGCCTAAATTGTAGAAAATGATGTACATTGCGAGTACCGTCAGTGGTAACCAGCCTAAATGCGCGATTATAGGAGACGCGATGGCTTGCAGGTAGAAATATGAGGCAATGACCGCTAAGGCGATAACGACAACGACTGTTGCCGCAATTATCATGGGGCGCCTACCGAACCGGTCCAGTAAATCCAGCGCGACGGTCGCGGCCACGATTTGAGTGCATAGGAAGATTATTACCGACAAATTTGGGTCCAAACTGCCACCGGCCGCGTGAAAGATCGTAGCGGTGTAGAAGAGGAACGGGTTGTTACCGCTGAATTTGCGCGTCAAGCATAGAATTACGAAGATAAAGGCCGCCCGGCGATTGCTTTTTATCGTGAAAATGTCCGTCCAGCTTGCCTTTTCGTCGGCTTCCTGTCGAGTGACCGCGTCGCATAACGATTTCATCTCCCCTTCGATGTCCATGGCTCCTCGAAGCACTTCTAGCGCTTTTCGGGCTTCGTCGTACCTCTTCTTCTTGATCAGGTAGTAGGGAGATTCGGGCATCCACATGAAGGTGAAGAAGTGAATTATGGGTATCAAGCAGCAGGCCAGCGACGTTACGAATATTGAGAAGTAAAATCCGAAAACGTTGATGAGTAGCGTTCCCAGCAGAACTGCGAACCCGATGCTTGCAGTTAGGATGCCTCTAATGGCGGGGTCGGAGATTTCCCCCAAGTACATCGGCAAGGTCGTGTACAGAGTGCCTTCTGCGACACCGATTACGAATCTTGAAAAGCCGATGAGTATAACGGATTTGGCGAAGGCCAACAGGATGAACATCGCCAAGGTGAAGGGCGCCATCAGAAGGGTCGTGTGCTTTCTTCCGATGCGATCGACCAGCAGCGCCCCAATCACTGCACCGACCGGCGTTGCTAACGGTGGCATCACTGCGATCCACGAACCCTCTTCGCTCGTCATGGTGATGTCCGGAAAGGTCCCGTTGATAATTTGGGGGTTGTATGGGGAGGTCCATCCTAAGTTGACACCGAAACTTAAAACGGCGAAAGAGCCTACAAAAAAAATTTAGCTAGGGACGTCCTAATTCGAATTCTGTTGTAATTTACCTGCTACTGTTGAAAGGTACTGGTATAGGTAGCGTTCATTATAAATTTTACTGGACAGCTTCATTGTGAGCTAAAAATACAAATGTGTTACAATTCTGGCGCTTTCAAAAAAGTTTAACCGTTACACAAACGGTCGAGTATTTAGGATGCGATAGTTGAGGAGGCCATCGCCTTGTTGCATAATAAAAAAAATGAAGGTTACGGTCAGGTGAGACCTTGCAATTCGTTGCAATTTCAATTAGTAATTGTTTTACAAATTTCTCCACTTTAATTCATTAAAAGCGAAAATAGAAAATTAATGAGACAAGCAGGCCATTGCACTATCACTCCGAAAAAAAATCCAAAAAGTACTTACATTTATGTTTCACTAAGTAAAGCACCAAGCACTAATTAAACTAAAGTCCGTTGATGAATAACTTAAATATCGCACATACTTTCAGCTGGTACCAAAGCTCGTGCTGAAGTGAATTCAAATATCTTCAGCGTCGCGCGTTTATATCAAAATATTTCCATTTTAGTGTATGGCAAGCCTGGTAACGACTTATTACGAAGAACTCCCGTAAAGCATTTTTTTAAAAATTAATTGACGTATTGGTCAGGTAGTGGGATCCGCCGGGAAAAACCGCTTTCTCTATATACCTAAGTAAAGGCGACGCCAATCCCCATTCCGCACGTTTACGCAGAGACGAGTTAAATCAAAAACTAAAGGTTGCAATTTAGTTTATTTCTTGAGGCAACGTACGCACTTGTTTAGATACCCATCGAAACCTGTAGTACACGTTTATTTATAGACCCGAGAATATATGCAGAACGAAAAGTATTGCGATAACGTATCTTCCATGCCTGGACTGATTTTTCAATGGGTTTCAAAACAATACTCGGAAGGTACGATTAGAAATGGAAAAAGGGAATTGTTCATTGTCGACTAAATTGAAAAATAATTGACTGACTAATTACGGAGAGTAATTTTTGCAAACGATCCATAGGTAATTACGGACACGCCAGCATGGGACAACTCATGAAAATAGCACGTTCCTGGCTAATTATGTAATCCACGAAGAATATGCTGATAATGTTGGAATTTACCCATTGTTGTGGATGTTAAAAATTAAAATCAATTCTAGGATTAACCGAGGTCAGCGTAATTGTACATATTAAGTAATTCTTGCTTAAACGTTTTTGGAGGGGTAGGTGAACTGACGCACGTAGTTGCGCCAAACTTATTCCGTCAGAACCAGACTTTGGGGTGAATGGTTGCTTGATGAATTTCACATATGTAGTGGCCATTAGAAAGTTATTAGCAGAACCTTGACCCATGAAACCTAAATTGAGTGTGAAAGATTAGCGGTGGTGAAGGGGGAATTACAATAACAAACAGTTAATCTTGTATAAACAATTAAGTGGCACAATTGTGATAAATGCCTCGACTAAAATTTTCAAAAATCCCAGAATGTTAACTTCCTACCTGGGTAATTTTTCACATAAAATTCAAAGAACTTCATCTCGAGTCACTTCGTCTTACAACAAATGACGTTAATTCCACGAGAATAATTGATAAAAGCCATATTTTTCACTTATTTGCATTTCCGTAATAATATAGGATTTTACAGTTGAATTGGCTTGGGTAGATTTTACGACTGCGTCAAAGTCAGAGAGAGCCACATCAGGAAAAATTGCTTTAGGAGTGTCACCGTATCACTTTCGAATCGTAAGAACAGATATTTTGATGCATTTTATGATTGGTTAATTAATCATCAGGAAACGTCAGTCTTAACTTTAAAAAATAAATATTTACATTCCATAATGAATGCAATATTTAACACGTAATTTTTCGCAACCGCGTAATGCATATGTCCAGTGGTGCATCCAAGGGGGGCATTTGATAAGAGCAGAGGTTTTGTCGATAACCTTACTTTACCGTTTTTTCTTATGGAAAAAGTGTACATTCATGTAATCATTTTGGAGTGTGAAATGCTAGGCCAGTCAAAATCGACAATAAATCAACAAAGCATGATGTATCTCTGATTTTTTAGTATGTTGTTTGGACCCATTAGAGTAGTGTATACTCAAGTTTGCAACTCTGTAAAAGTTGTGGAAAAAGTGTAGTATACGAAAAACCGCGAAATTTTCGGACTTTTTGCAGTGTTTGCGTTATATTTCCTTAACTATACATTTTTAGACGAAGGTCACTATATACGTTTTAGAAGAGTATTAATGTGTAACAATTTGCGCCCAATCCGAGCTCTGTAAGTCAATTAGTTACCGGATTACGGCACTTTGAAGATAGTCATTTTTTTCCAAAAAGTGAACATTTGAGTTTTACACCTTCTTTAGATCGAAATTGCGGCTAAACTATTGATCCTACGAGTAGAAATTATAAAAAAGAAGTTGTAGATAATTTAATTAGCTTTAAGTTAAGCGTACAGTGGGGTCTGCAGGTCTCGTAGTTCTCTCTAAATCTCAAAAAAACCGATATAAGGTAAAATCGCATTTATACAGAAATGTTCCAAAAGCTTTTTATTTTTTGTTTTTTGGTGTGGTAAAGAAAAATTTGGCATGCAATCATAAACGGTGAGGTGTATTTTAATATAAACCTCGATATAAACATAAGTCATAACAATTATAGTAGGTATATAACCAATAAATCAAATATAGATCAAAATCGTCTCCTTGTTTTGAATGGCCCTGGACCGTCACTTTCGCTGCACTCTTTAACAGGCAGATCCTCTACTATTGGTGGATCGTCGTCGCGGTCCTTTATACGTAGAGAGTCCAGTATTGCTGGATCGTCGGGGTTGTCTTGAAGCTCGTCATCGTCGGGGTTGTCTTGAAGCTCGTCATCGTCGCCCTCTTCGATGAAGATAAGTGCAGCCACCTCTGCATCCCTTTTTGCATTTGCAAGAAAGGAGTTTCAGGAGTTCTGGGGGGGCAGGAGGTTGCCGTCTGGTAATGGGAATGTTTCCAGCCGAGTTCAATTCCCAACCCCATTCGGTGGCCTGAGCATTGTCCTGGAGACCACGTTTTACACTGATGGCAACTACTGACTGATGGATACCACGTTTTTGAACAATTATCACTGATTCGTCCTCAAGTGGATATCGACATATAAAACAAGACTGGCATTGTTAACAATGCCAGTGCCTCCCAGCTCTTGTTTTATATGTACGTTTGTGTTCCATGTGTCGTGTTGTGAATAGATTCCAATTGGAACCTATTCACAACACGATACATGGAACACAAACGTACAAACTGAAACACAAGTTACTCACAAAGAAGGAACAAATAGTGTGAGCTCAGGAAGAAACTAAGAAAGCGGGGGAACGAGAGAGGGTTTCATATACGATACGAAATATGGCATTAACAAATCATCATGAAGTCTGAAAATCTGTAAATACTTTAGCGCGCGCGGTGTAGGTAATAATTTATGACAACTTCGCGACAACTATACTAACATAATAAGGATCATCTTTATGAGCCAAAAACGTGCTCGCCAATAGGGCGGCAGACTTTGAATTGGTTTGAAAGCTGTTTATTACTCAGTTAAGATTAAAATCTGCACTATTCTTCTGTTAAAATAACCCAGTATTTCCGTACCACTACCATTATTACTACTATTGCCGATCACCCAACGGGAATACGCAGAACAAAGAATCGCTACAATCCTTAAATATCATCATTGTATATTAGGTATGTACAATTTTATCATTGCGGCACCTACCTACGACTTACTCAACTTTGATTTGTGCCTTAATTTAAATCTATGAAATTGTTGGATATTTAAAATTGACTCTATGCAGCAAAAAAAGTGATTTGACACATTCCTTTCTGATTTCCACACCAAAAAACAAAAGATAAAAAGTTTGTGGAACATTTCTGGAAAAATATAATTTTACCTTATATCGGTTTTTTTGATATTTAGAGAGAACTACGAAGCTTGCAGACCCCACTTTACGCTTAACTTAAAGCTAATTAAATTATCTACAATTCTATTTTATAATTTGTACTCGTACGATCAATAGTTTAGCCGCAATTTCGATATAAAGAAGGTGTAAAACTCAAATGTTCACTTTTTAGAAAAAAATGACTATCTTCAAAGTGCCGTAATTCGGTAACTAATTGACTTCCAGAGCTCGGGTTGGGCGCAAATTGTTACACATTTAATACTCTTCAAAAACGTGTACAATGACGAAAGTCGAAAAATGCATAGTTAAGGAAATATAACGCAAACACTGCAAAACGTGCGAAAATTTCGCGGTTTTTCGTATACTACACTTTTTCCACAACTTTTAGAGAGTTGCAAACTTGAGTATACACTACTCTAATGGGTCCAAACAACATACTAAAAAATCAGAGATACATCATGTTTTGCGAATTTAGCGATTTTTTGTGTCGATTTTGACTGGCCTATCCTATGCTTACAATTTCAATTACAAGGGAAATTACACGAGGGTAATGCGAGACCCTTCATTACCAAACGATGGCTGCGCTACTGCATTTTTTCATTTTCTATTATTAAAAGTGAGACATTTTTTGACGTCGGCCATCAGTGGCGGATTGGGCGGCGGGCAAGGACTCGCCAGGCACCTGGTACTTTGCGCCAGATTTAGAGGTTATAAGAAATTGTGAGGAGCCTTTCAAAAATCAATACCATCGAATTCTTGACGAATTTTTACAGAATTATACACAGATCACTATAGAGGAACGATTTACGACCTCACTTTTGTGCAACAACTGTATAAAATTCACATGTTAAGGATAATAGATACAAATCAATTGAAAACTGCACGAGCACGATAGGACTGAAGTTGAGAACCCAGCGGTGGGCAACTACAACACAGGATTTCTGTACATCATTCTGGAATATGTTAGAGTGTATAAAAATAATTACCAAGCCCCTAGTGCCGTACAAAAATAATTTTGCAAACATTTTTGAGACAAAAAAGTTGATTTACAACTGTACGACTTTTGTACAATACACTTTTTCTCCCTACATAGATATTCTATTGCAATTCCTTACAAATTTGCAGAGACAACCTCCGGCCCCATTTTTGAGCTGTATAGTGACGGCGATCTGACGCAACGTAAAATTAATGATCTCAGTTATTATAAATAAACAATATTTGTGAATAGGGGGGTCTAAATACAGTTGCAATACAGTTACATCAATGGTCTCCTTAATATTTCCCAAAAAATTTTTTATTCAATTATAAAAACAAGATTTATCCAAGTACTGAAGGTGAAATTTGAGCCAAACACATTGAGGTTTTTCAAGTTAAAGCAGTGCCGGCTCGTGAGTTCTAAAGGAGGACGGACATAAGTAAAATCTTACCTACTATTTTTTTTTACATTCTTCTATTTTTAAAGTCAGAAAAGACGATAATGACTTTGTTGCCGTTCGGGATAGACTTGACGAACTTCTTTTCTACGGATAGGTTTGCTAAAGCGTTCAGTCGTGTGTCAAGCGAGTGAGCAGAACATGGTTTATCTATAATTGTCGTTCGTTTTGGCAAAACCACTGCAAATTTGCAATGATGATTTTTACTTTTTTATTGCACTGCGCCGCTCGTTTAATAATTAAATCACATTGATGCCCGTAACAATGGAAACGAATATACGAATGCATGTGGAAATGTTCTTTTGATAATGGCTTGAACACCATTTGTCTTACCACTCATAACGGACGCCCCGTCATACTTAACTTTGAGGGATAATTTAATTTATTGCTCGATTTATTGTTATCAGACGTACATTGGCCTGGG